ATAATAGTTGAAGCGGCGGTGGCCCAGAGATCTTTTGTAGTATATATCTTGGAGTTCCGGCAATGGCCAGATTCTCCACTCAAGACATGAGTGCATGTGGCTAAAGCGCTCTCGCTCAAACTCCACTGGCTTTAGCACCAGTGACGTGGTTGAGAGAGTAGCGCAGGGATCTCTTGGAGTCCTATATATATATATATATATATATATATATATATATATATATATATATATATATTATAACCTTAATCTTCTTATATGACCAATTATTTTCATTCTTTAGTTTAAATATTTTAAAAAAAATAGTGTAAGATGTAATCGCTCCATAATTTATTTTTCTATTTCAAAAACCTTTTTATAGGCACATTTTTATGATACACGTTACTCACAAATTAGTAATTAAGTATTTACTCGTTGTAAGTTTAGTATATTTTGTGATGAGTTACTGCATTTTTATGTTTTTTTACTACACATATTGCTGCATATTTCAGGATTGTTTACTCAATATTAAATGGCATATTCTGTGAGAATTTACTGCTTAAAAATCCAGGCATTCGTTACCACTTCCTATACAACAAAAAACCCGACTAACTAAAAAAACAACACAATTCTTTAATTTTCTACTCTTCTGCTGGAAATAAGGCGTTTGTTTACACAATTCTCTTTGTATCTCTTGTGGTCTGCTGTCAGTCCTATAAATATATTTCTATACTTATGGGACACCCTGTATATACAGGATATCCCACGAATAGGGGAAAATTAGGTTGTGTAAAAAAACGTACATTTTATTTTTTTATCCTATCCCCTAAAATTACCCCTGTTTTTTAGCAAAAATGACTAGAATTAACTATTTAAAATAACTAATTTCATGTTTTTGTACGATCTTGGATATACTGTAATAGACATAATTACCTAAATACAATATTTATTTAAATAAAAATAATTTAAAATAATGACTTTTCAAGTAACAGTAGTTGATCGTCCTAATTTCCACAGTCCTATTTTCAAAAACATTGGCATTAAGAAAGGCATGCGATTTTCTTTGACTAAACTATACTATACTATCACTTCAAATTCACCAAGATTAGGTTTTGAATTTATTAACATAAATAATACATACTTTTATTTAAAGTATATTATATACTAGAATATTTGTGTAAGCATTTGTAAATTTAAATAATTTTTTATAGCATATAGTAAAAAATGAAGTTTTATTTGTATTTGTGGTATTTTAACTAACTTACCATGGTCTTGATATCTCTCTTCAACTCCAAAGTAATAGGTCATATTCCACACCTTTTTGAATTGGGTATATTAAAAGAAATTGTAAGACACAGGCTTTAATAAATTTTAAGTTGGTATATGTCTTTTCTTGAAATATGTTCAAAACTTTTATTGTCATATTACTCTTTAATTTAGTTTTTGTTCTGTTTGATGGAAAATGTTTATTTCGCCAAAACATCCAACAAAGAATTATCGGAATTTGTTCAATAGATTTTTGTTTCATCCATTTTATGAGTGAAAAGGTACCTATTAAGTTCATATGTATGTTGAATCTGTATGTAAAAACTTTATTGGAAATTGTCTATGTTGGTGATTTGTTTTTATTCACGAATAGTTAAATATTCATTTTGTATTCACTGATAAAAAATGAACCTCGCAGTTACCATTAAATCCTTGAATGTTGGGAGTTTGCAGAATTTCGGACATGAATTCACTCAAAAATTTAACTTTTATATGAAAAAATATAAATCGTTAAATACAGGTAATTGTATAAAGCAATGAATATGAAGCTATTCTAATCTTACTTGGCAGTCTTTTTTTTTTTTTTTATTTTATTTTTTTTTTATTATTTTTTTTTTTTTATACCATCTTAAAATAACAACTGTATAACAACACCTTTTAAATTTTATTTTAATATGATCTCTTTGTTGACATGATGAGTTTTTACATTTTGACTTTATTTTTTAACCGCTATTATGCTATTACGTATGAAAAAAAAAAAAAAATGGTACCTTAACTAAAATGTATACTAAATTTGCATTATATGTAAATGTTTATAAATTTGCGCAATTTAATTTAGCATGGTTATGTAAAATTTATATTATAACGTAAATAAAGATTATTTAGATAGTTCTATTGTTTTGGGGTACTATGGAAGAGGAACACAAATCAATTAGCATATTTTAAATAATGATTATATTTTTAATAAGTAATAACAATTGTTTTAGTAGACTTTATTACTAAATAATATTTACTAATTGTAGTACAATAGTCATTTTTTTTTACAAATGTTACAGTGAGTAATATGTAACTTAAATTTATAGAGTCTTACATTTAAATCTTACATTTAATCTTACACTTAAATAATTTCTAAAATTATAACTAAGAACTAAAACTACCACTAAGAACTAAATACCACTAAGTTAATTAAGTCCAATTAAGTTTATATGATTTTGATTTCTTCAGAAATAATACAAAAGAACAAATATCATATATGAATAATTGAGTATAGAAAAAACACTTTAAGAGTACTCACAAAGATTTGTGTTTAGCTAAATTAGCAACTGTACATAGTTTCATTAAAATGTATTTCATTTTGAAAATAACTGAAATACAACTGAAAGAGAAAATATATCACTGAAATCAAACAGAAAGAGGCACACTGAAATGCTGTATGTCTAATTCTAATTTTTGAGATTTATAATATCGGTCGATCATTAGTTTCTTCCGATTCCCCGGTTTTTGAATTTCTCTGTTATACCATTCGTTAATCTCGTTTGCTCTCCTAACGTTCTCTGCCTTCTTTATATAGTCATGTTCTAATCTTAGCCTTTTGATTTCATCTGAAAAAATAAAAAAGTATTACTTTCACAAATACAGATTGCCCTGAAAATAATATTTAAAATGGTGATAGATGATCTCAAGAGCTCCAAATATATATATATATATATATTTGTAAGATTTATTCATATACCACAATATATATATTGTGGTATATGAATAAATCTTACTTAACCAAATATATGTTAACAATTGTCTGATTTTATACCGAAAAGAAAAGCATTGAAAGGAAGATACAAAGGGTATCTCCAAGTGGAGTTGTCCGAATGCGAGATCAAGACGATTCTTAATCTTGGTCTTGTGCAAGAGTTTCACAACAGTCTTGCAGTTGCCTTATTACCTTATTAATATTTCCTTATAACTACAGAAATATTACTGTAATTTTTTAGATCGGGGAAACCTAACTAAGCCTGAATGAATAATTTAAAGATTTAAACGCAAAAGAATATTGGTTATATCATTTCATTACATATAGTAACTATTTTTCCTCAATTTTCATACAAAAAATCGATTTTTTTTTAAGCAGACTTGGTCTTGCAACAATTAGGTGGTCTAGGTATTGGTCTTGCAAAGTGTGAGACAAAGACCAATTTTGGACAACAGTACTCGAAAATTAAGGAAAATATTTTAAGAGGTGTTGTAGATCTCAAGAACTACAACAAATTTTTTATATCAACAGAGGTCCGATTTGCTGCAGAAATGTAGCAAAACTTTAAGGTTTGTGTTTTTATAAGGAAGACGCATTTTTTGGTTAATAGGATGCCTAAAAATATATTCAATTTAAGTAATTAAAACATACTATACTTTAAAATAAACAAAATTTACTTCAAACGATAGTAAGTAGATTTTATCATTATCAAATACCCCCCTCCCGTTTTTTTTATCACCGTTCAACTATGCTACTACGATACCCCACTTATAAAAGAACTTTCTTGTTTGTAAGCTTCAAGCCCATATAATTAAGTAGAGGTTCATCATGAGATAAGTAGGGATTCACCGCAAACTATATATAAAAAAAAGATGTGATATATCCTGTGGCCTAAAATTACTCGTGTTTTTAGAAAAAAATGTTTGTAATAAATTATTGAAAAGCTTTAATTTCTTTTTACCATTAGCTGGGGTTTGCTATAATTCACAAAATTACATACATAAACTTTCTATAGACCAAGTTTTTTTTAAAACAAAATTTAGCTTAGTTTAGCTGAGGAAAAGCCATTTTTAATTAGTATTACCAATGACAAACTTTACATTCCTTTGAAGAAAATCTATCTAGTTTACTCTAGAGCAATTAGTAATTACATAAATGGAGTTTTTTTTTTATCTCTTCCCATTCAACAAAAAACGGGACCTACCTAATAAAACACAAAACTTAAATCTCCTTCTTTTTTGTAGAAATTTGGACCATTGTTATATAACTTTTTTTGTAGCTATTGGGCTACTTACTTACTTAGGCTGTACACTGGCATAGACAATATTGACAAACATTATTATTTGGAAAGTGGGGGACCTTATAGTATGTATTTTATTGTAAAATTGGACATAAATATTTTTCACAATAGAAATAATTTCCATTGTTAAATATGTTTTAAATAAAGTACAGTATATGCATATCAAATATAATAATATATACAAATTAAATAATTACAGAATAAGTATGAACATGCAAGATAAAGATCATGAAAGTTAGGTCAAAATGAATCAAACATTAAAAAAAATAAGTTAAAATATATGTTACCGTAAATCATAAAGGCTCCTGGCCGTTTTCTTCCCAATTTTTGCAAACTGTTGTTTACTGTAGTCATTCGTGACAAATCCAGAGCTAAAAAGTTATTCTTGAATTAGAATAGAATAGAAAATAAACTTTATTCTGGGACAAGAATAACAATAATGAACAGAAAACAAAAAGATATACACGCCCAACACTATATTAATAAAAATTAAATAATACATACAATATATTCAGTGTAAATATATAAAAAAAAAGTAAAACCATTTTAAAAAATGTATTTTATTGAAATGAAAAGAAAAAGAGAAATCAGTGGAAATAAAAAAACAAAATGTTCCAAGCACCATGAGATGATTCTTAAAATTCAAACAATATCAACAGCCATTCCTTTCGATAAAGATTTGATTCCTAAAATTCATTTCATTGTACAACGTCATTTTGGGTTGTGAGAAGGAATTGGTAAAGATAGTATTTGAATTAGGATAAGGAAGAGGCGTGGTGGATATAAGATGCAAGGAATTCTAGAGGACAGTGCATCGGGCAATAAAGGAATATTCAAATGTCTTAGTTCTATGGAAAGGGGTACAGAGATCAGAAACATGCTTGAACTGTAGGATACTGTGGATGAAGGAAGGGTAGCGGGTGTTGATCATTTGGAATAGGTAAGATCCTAGGAAATATTGTCGGTGGGAAGAAGGGAAGAGTTCTTTGAAACCCTTAAATATCAATTATTATAAAAATCCTAAATTGTAAAATTTAATACTTGTTTTTTCAAAGGATTTTTTTCCAGGCGTTAAATAAAGCATTCATAACTGCTCAGGATTTCTCAAAATTTAACGTTATTACAATCTTTATAAACCTGAATCTAAAATTTGAAATTTTTTTTGTAATTTGAATCAAATAGTGGCCCACAAAAGAGTTCGTCAGTGACAACTTTATAATGAGCAAATGGGCTTAAACATTGTTATAATGACTATAGGCGCAGAGGGTAGAAGGAGAGAGGGGTTCGAATATCAGAAAGTACATTTTTAATGAGGTTGAACTATATCAAATATCGTTACAACACCCGCACAATGTTCTGATATCACAAGGGAAAATTTATCAATGCTGTTTATCGCTTAATGATTGTTTGGAATAAACCGATGATATAAAAATTAAACAATGATATATCGAGTAAAAATCTTCGATAAAAATAATGAAGATTAACAGAAAATAGTAAAAGATTAAAAAATAAACTTATGATAACTTACGTTCTTGTTGACAGTCATATATTGTTCTTTCATCGTTTTGACTCACACCGGCTGGATCATTGTGTACTACCTGGACACAGTTACTGTCTTCCTCTGGGCTATTTAATTCTAATAAAATAATTATAATAAAATAATTAATTAATTAAACATAATATAAGTTTATTTCAAAAAATCACAAAGTGCATTTTTATAAAGATGAACTATTGAGTAAGTTTTTAACACGATTTCCAAAATGATATATCAATAAGACATAAATCACTAGTAAATACATGATCCCTTTTTATATGTGTCAAATATATTTACTACTGATATTGTTCTGATATCACATAGAGAAAAATTATCAATGTTCTTAGCGATGATATAAAATGTTTCTCAATGACTCTTTACAATAACCCGATGAAACACAAATTAAACAATGATATATCGAATAAAAATTTTCGATTAAAATAATGAAGATTGACCGAAAATAGTAAAATATTAAAAAATAAACTTATGATAACTTACGTTCTATTGGATCGTAAATAATTGTTCTTTCACCGTTTTGATCCTCAACGGCTGGATCATTTGGTTCTACTTGGATCCCATTGCTGGTTTCTTCTCCATTCTTTGCATCTTCTAATAAAATAATAATAATATAATTTTAATAAAATAATTAATAAATTAAACATATTGTAAGTTTATTTTAAAACGTCACTAAGTACATTCTTTATAGAGATGAACTATTGAGTAAGTTTTTAACGTGACTTCCAAAATGATATATCAATAAGACATAAATCACTAGTAAATACATGATCCCTTTTTATATGTGTCAAATATATTTACTACTGATATTGTTCTGATATCACATAGAGAAAAATTATCAATGTTCTTAGCGATGATATAAAATGTTTCTCAATGACTCTTTACAATAACCCGATGAAATACAAATTAAATAATGATATATCGAGTAAATATCTTCGATAAAAATTATAAAGATTAACCGAAAATAGTAAAAGATTAAACAAATAAACTTATGATAACTTACGTTCTATTGGATTGTTAAGGATTGCTGGCTCATCGTTGTGATCCTCGACGGCTGGATCATTTGTCTTGATCTCGACACCATTGCTGACATCTTCTGAGTTCTTTCCTACTTCTTCACTTAACGTTCCACTACAACTTTCTTTATTGATCTTAACTTTAATTTCCATGTTGATATGGTCTGGTATAACTTCAACATCGCTGCCCGTCTGGATTTCATCTGCAACACAATAATAGAAAATAAATACCATCCATAAAAAATAAATAAGGCATTGTAATGTGGCTTGCTGTACGTAATTACTCAGGTATTTCCAATTAGCACCACTCAATAGAATAAATAATTCCTACGGCGAAAATGTCTGCCAACCAATATATTTTTCGCTAATATCACTCAAGACATGACTGGACCCCAGGAAGAGAATGGTGTCTTCATTTTCCAAGGTTTACATACCGGACAATTATCATTACCCTCTTGCACCCACGGTTTAAAACAAATTAAGTAATTCCGCCTTGCATCGGATTATGTATTTTCACTTGTATTAGACTAGCATTAATTTTTTTTTCTCATTATTCAATGTAATAATAAAATAATTAATAAATTAAACATATAAGTTTATTTCAAAACGTACAAAGTCTATCTTTTATTGATGATGAGTTATTGAGAAAGTTCTTAAAGTGAATTCCGACCTGATTTATAGATAAGATAAAATCTGGTGCACGCATCACACAACTTTCAATTACCACACTCTTCTTACTAGAAATAAGTATTTTCAGACAAAGGGAAGTGAATGTTAAAATTATTGACGCTATATTTATTCACAAGTTCTTGTGAGTGTTTTTATTAGTTTAAGTACACTTATATATACAAATTTTAATTTTTATATAGCTCTATTCTATACAATTTATGTCCACCCAATGTTCTGATATGACATATAAAGTATTAAACAATGTTCTTTGTAATGATATGAAATATCACTTTACGACAGAACTCTTTGGACCGATGAAAAAGGTCAGTATAGCTTCCTCACAATTTTCATTCGCTAGAATATATCTATATTACAAGGTATACAATTTTTCGTATGATTTTTCTTTAAATACGAATCTTTTTTATATAGGCTTAAAGAGCAACAAATCAGATTTCCAACGCTCATACAAACATTGAATCAGGAGAAAATCACGAGAAGTTATGAGCTATTTAGTGAAAATCAGGTAAAAAGATTCTAATAGAGAGTGGTTTGATATCCATGGTAACCAGATTACCTCATCTACCAATATAAATAGTATTACATAAAAAACAAATCGGTTCAGCCCTTTTTACTCCTCTATTATTCAACCGATTTTCTTCATTCTTTTTTTGTTTAATAGCTACTGACGAGCTTTAGTGTTATCAATAAAAAAAAATGAAATAGTATGTGAGTAAAAATATAAATGGTATTTCGTTTAAAACGGCTAATCTCCGAAAATTCACTGAATTCTTTTTAATTTTGACACAACGCCGCAGTAATATTTATAAATTTTTTGTATATGCTTCCTGAATTCCCTACAAAAAAAAATCATCGAAATCGGACTATTTGTTGCAGAGATATATCATTTTAAACATTTACTGCTTTTTCTTTTGCAAATTCGACTATCTTATTTTGGTTTTTGGTAAATCAAAAACTCTACATTTTCTGAGATAATTGTGAATATAATTTTAAGAGATGATATCATTGAATGAATTTAATTTATGAGATAACATTCCAACCTCATAAATCAAATTTTAAAATGAATTCTATAGTTATACTCATTCTTGACTTAAATACTGCACATGCTTTAGTAAATAAAAGAATTTGAATTTTCAGATCTAATTAAATATTTTCTGATACAATAGTTCCATTTAAATTTCAAATAACAACGTTTTTATTAATAGCTGCATTTGCCATGACCATAATCAAATCGCATGGTCAAAGTTTTGTAATAATTCGGGTATTATTGCGACGTTCAGTAATTTCGCGTATATATGTGGCAACAAGTAGAGCACGTTCATTTCAAATTTTTAAGTTTATATTTCCAATGGCAATGGGCAAGTCTATGTACTAAACAATAACAGAACATTAAAAAATAACATTGTTTACAGAGAAATTCTGAATAAAAACGGATTTGAACTATTAATTTAACTTAATTTGAAATTGCTAAATTAAATTTATTTTTTACTTGCTTGATCATAACATTGATTTATTGTAATAATAACACACGTAAATTAAAAGTTTTGAATGAGTATATTTTGTATTACTTATAAATAATTTTAAGTAGAAGTAAGCTCTATTTAAAATTGAAATTGAAATTTTATTTATATTAATAAATGAGGATTTTGGAATTGTGATTTACCCTTTACTTATTGAATTTATTCTTTATTTAATTATGTTTTCCTCAAATTCTTAATAGCTATGGTCAATTTCGACCACTGGGCGAACACTAGTATGTATTTAATAGGTATGTTTTCACTCGTAAAATGGATGGAACTGTAAAATCCATAAGAAAAATTCAACTTGTTATCTGTTCGAAGTTAACGAGACAAATACTTATCTTCAGTCAGAACAAAACTAATTGACTTGGAATATGAAAATATGAGTGAAGTTCACACAACTTAGATATTTAAGAAGGAAATCGATACCAACGCGAACTGGTAAAACTTCAATGGGTTATTTCCATTCACAAATAATACTTTTTTTTTTACAAATTCAGAGCAAAAATTAATTTAAATTTACTGAAAATCACACAAAATCTAAGTAACAACAGTATGTATCATGCCAGTAACGTTTGGAATCGACCAAACAATACCCTATAAATTAATTTTTTTAATAAAACTTAAAATTTTAAAGTCCCATAACAATAATGTAATAACCCAACTATCACTCCATATGATCAGTGCCTTCCACATTTCACAGTTATTATATTGTTAACAGTTATTTACATTAATTTTAATTATTAATCGAAATTGATGCTAAGTAATTTCTATACTGTTCTACAAATTTCCCCCAAGTTTGGGTCAATCGAATGCACCGTTTTCAAACTATGGGCATATCAAATAACAATTTCCTGGTCTGAAAGCGGAAGTTTTTTTTGGGGGGGGGGAATATTAGATAGAATTTGATAATATTGATGCCTATTTTATTTTACGTTTACCAATCCCTAAAATCCCTCCAAATTTTAGCGAAATCGAACTTACAGTTTTAGAGATGTAGAAGTATCAAGGAAAACACGTTATGTGGAGATATAAGTGAAAGCAAGAGATAGAATTAAATTAAATAAACCCTACATTATTTTTTCACAAATAACTACCTTTTATCCAAATTTGAGCCAAATCGAACGAGCCGTTTGTGAAATATTGGCATATCCACAAAAATGCGTTTGCGCGTGCGTAAGAGGAAGTGCTGATTAGAATTTAATAAAATTGATATGGGATCATCTAGACAGACACCGAACCATATTTGATCCTTGATATCTTAAATGTAAAAAGCTAGTGGAAATTTTCGATTCTGAGAACAAATTTGTTATTTAACCTCTCCCACGAATACAATACTTCCCTAGTTTCGTTAGTGAGGAAGCAATAATTAAACAATCATATGACAAGTATAAATCTACTTTTTAATTAGAATTATGTTTTTTATTTATCAGAAAATATGATGAACGTATATGTATTTTCACTTGTTTATACTAGGATTAATTTATTTTATCTCATTATTTAATGTAATAAAAAAAACTTTTGCCAAGTAAGGTCAATATAGTTTGCTCAACGTTTTCATTGGATTAAATATATCTTTATTACAAGTTATACAATTTTTCGTCTGAGAATAAAATCTCTGGGAGAAGCCGATTCGGAAATACAATTACCCTTCAACGCTGGATTGATATCCACTAATTTCTTTTATCAGCTAATATTAACATGTGAATGAGTGTCTTATTTAAAGATTTCATATTTGATTATTCTTAATTAAAAAAAAAAAAATACCAATGCCTACTCAACAAGCATTTCACTACTGTTAGTGCAAAAGGTCGTATGTAAAAATTGATTGTTTTACAACAGAGCTTAAAAACTCATTATTTCTTTATCCTGTATTAGTATAATTTTATATTTTATTGTCATCTGCTATTTTCCATAGTAGTAAGTATGGAGTTGTAGCAATCTACTTAGTTTATAAGTAGCAAACTACGTATATCAGTTGCAGCCTACAAAATTCACTAATAGAATAAAAGTTGAAAATATTTACATACGACAATTTGAACTAATAGTAGTGATATGTATTTAATAGGAATGTTTTCACTCATAAAATTGACGGAACAAGAATATCCATACAAAAAATTCAACTTGTTTGTTCTGGGTTAATGAGACCAATACTTTTCTTCAGTCAGAACAAAACGCATTAAGCTAGAAAATATAGAAATATAGGTGAAGTAAACACGACTTCGATATTTAAGGAGGAAATCGAATCCAAGACGAATTAGTTAAACTTCAATGGAAATAAATTCAATAAAAAATACAACTTAAAAAAAGAGCTCAGAGTAAAAATTACATTAAATGTAACAAAAATTACACGAAACATAAGTAAGGGCAATAAGTGGCATGCCAATAACGTTTGGAATCGACCAAACAAAACAGTATAAATTAATTTTTTGAAAAAAACATAACATTTTATAGCCCTATAACAATATTGTTATAACATAACTATCACTCCATATGATCAGTGCCTTCAACATTTCACAGCCATTATATTGTTAACAATTATTTATATTAATTTTAATCATTAAACGGAATTAAAAGAAATTGATACTACGTAATTTCTATACTGTTCTCCAAGTTTGGGACAAATCGAACGTGTCGTTTCTGAAATATAGTTATATCTAAAAAAATGCGTAAGCGGAAGTACTGCTTAGAATTTAATAAAATTGATATGAGACCATCTAAACAGACACCGAACCAAATTTGATCCTTGATATCTAAAACGTAAAAAGCTAGTGGAAATTTTCGATTCTGAGCACAATTTTTTTTTAACATCTCGCACGAATACAATGCAAAACTATCTTCGGTAGTGAGGAAGCAATAATTAAAAATCATATGACATGCATGAATCCACTTTTTAAAAAAAAATCAAGTTAATCAAATTAAACGGAAAATATGATAAAATTATTATGTATTTTCACTTGTATTAATTGTACTAGGATTAATTTATTTTTTCTCCTTATTAAATGTAATAAAAAAATATTTAATAAATTAAACATATTGTCAGTTTATTTCAAAAAGTCACAAAGTACATTTTCATAGAGATGAACTATTGAGTAAGTTTTTAAAGTGAATTCCAATTTGATGTAAAGATAAAACAAAAATGACTAAAATGACATATTCCCTTTTATGTATATCAAATATAGTGACAACGTCCGCACAAAATTCTGATATCACAAAGGGAAAATTTATCAATGTTTTTAATGATGATATGAAATGTTAGTTAATGACTGTTTGCAATAAACCATTGGAAAAATAATAAAAGAATCATATAACAAGTAAAAAACTTCAATAAAAATAATGAAGGTTAACCGAAAATAATAAACTTTTGATAACTTACCTTCTGTGTCTGTTTCTTCATCTGTCCAATCTGTAGATTCACCATCGCTTAAATAATCAAGCAGCCGGGGACGAACACCGAATTCCATCAGATCCCTCACTTCCGCACTCGCGGGACTTAGGGAACTATCGGAATCGAACATTAAGTCTGCAGACATGTTAAAGTCTAACTGAAGCACAAGGACACTCTCGGTACACTGCTGAATTGCAACTGAACAAATTTCAGGTACACCTTACCTTCCCAGTTTTGGTCCTCCGTAATAAAGTAATAAAACCCGAGACAGCCGATGGCTATGGGTATAGGGGATTATGTCACATAGTGGAGGGAGAAAACCCTAAACTTCTTTGTATTTTAAACTAAACTGAATTTGGTTGAAAAAAATAAGCAAATATTTGTAATATATATTTAAATAAAATATTGAAATACCTTTTCTGATAAAAAATATAATCCATGAAGTACAAATGTTATATGATTCGTAAAAAATTAAAGATTAGATCTCTCAAATATTCATAATACTTTCCATGCAGTGTTTTAAATGTTTACTAATTCTAAACATTGAATTATTAATTTAATTTATTAATTTTAGAAAAGAATATTGGAGATCAAAGTGCTAAGCAAAAAAAAAACTAGACACAATTTTACGCAATGTGAATGCCACAGTAATTAATATTATCTCAATTTATAGCCGCAGACTTTCCATTGTGGTTGGGGAGGGGCGTTCGGATTGGTGTAAATTATGAGTGATAATCAACTAATAAATAATGTAAAACAGACAATATAATAGGCGTTCTTCAATGGTGGGTTTTTCTCTTTACAGGTTTTGTTATATTTTGTTAATCGACTTGTTAAGACCGCATAAGATAGAATTAATCGCGATGAACTTTAACTAGCCATGGAGGAATTTCATATCCCTCAGAAGCTCATATGTATGGTGAGGCTGACCATGAACGAGGTGTTCTGGTCAGTGCGCGTTGGTGGAGATCTAAGCATGGAATACCGAGCGACAAAGGGCCTATTTGTTATCATATTTTCAAACATAAACATACAATATATATATATATATATATATATATATATATATATATATACATGTATGTAACAAGAAGGTAAGGAACACCATTTTTGAATGTATGAGGAAAGGAACACCAAGTGTCCATTTTTGTATTTGTTAAGGTAAGTGAATTTTCCACATCTCTGATCAATTACAGTTTGTTTCTTAGTTACTAAATTATTTAATAAAGGATCAGCATAGTGTCCTTTAACTCCAGGTTACGCACACACCCATAAATATACAGGCATTGTAGATGTTTATATATATATTACACACACACACACACACATACACACATACACATATATATATATATATATATATATATATAATCAAAGTTCAACTTCGAGAGTGGTTAGTACTTGGATGGGTGACCGCTCGATTTGGGTGAACACCCACCAGGAAAAGCCATGCTGTCCGAGTCTCTCCCCCCCCCCCGGGTAAGTGAGCCACGTCAGCCTACTGGAGGCAACTGATACCGACCGGACTTAAGACTGATGACCCTACCCCATGTACTTAATCGGGAATCGGTATGTGGTCAACCAGGATGTTAGTAGGCCCCCTGAGGTTCGGTCCATGGACGATCTTATTCTGGTAAAGAAATATAGGTCCTCGTGCGCCTGCTGATTCCGAGCAGCCATAATCCGTGGATTTAGACAGATTTGTCACTGTCCTGGAATCCGAGTGAGTCCGTAGGAATGACACTGGTAGATTGGCCCCAAAGAAATCGGCTATGGAACTACGGGTGGCCTGCCACTGCACCATGCTTACCATGGTTCGTTGCAACGTGAGGTTGGGTGACCCCCTCCAGGCAATCTGAGCTACTCAGCAAATTATTTATAATGATTTTTTAATATTATTGAAATTTTTACGATTTGTTTAAAACTTATTTTAAATATTTCAATGAATTTAAATATGATGAAATAATCTATTAATGATCTATAATTAAGAATCTTAGAAACCGAATTATTAATAGTAATTCAGATTTATCAACAGACGATAGACAGCTCAAAATAAGTTTTTTAAAAATTCGTTAGCATTGCGAATTTCATTTATTTTTCATTACATTGCTAATACTTTCATTTAAGATATTACATTGGCTTGTTAAATGTTTATATGTATATATTGAACATTTTACACTTTTTTTTTCTATTTTTATTGAAACTAACTTATATTTTCGTTATTCCAATTATTTATTGAAAATAGTTTATATCCTGGTTACATTTCAATGAACTCACAAAAAATTTTGTTAAGCTAAATTCACAATATAGTAGTTTCTTCAATATTTTAGTTAGTTTTATTTATTTTTTTTTTTTGTACATAAATAAATAAACTTATTACTATATTTAATTTGATTGTGCTTATTTACACAAATATCTTTAATTACAATTTTAAACTAAACTCACTTATTCCAATCCAGATAATTGCTTATTTCACAATATCTTAAGTCTTCTAAATTTCTATTTCATATTACTAGTTATTATTAGTTATTACTTATTGTTTTAGTCATATACAGCCTTTTTAGTTTTTGCTTTTGTTTTATACGTTTTTTAAAGTACTTCCTTATAATTTTTAATTAAATATTTATACATTTAATATGTGATTTTCTGCAGATATGTAGCAAACTTTAAGGTTTGTGTTTTGTTAAGTAATTCACACTTTTTGTTTTGCGATGCCTGAAAATAGATTTAATTTAAGTAACTCAAAATTACATTACACTAAACTGAACTAAGTTTATTTCAATCGAATGTCAGTAGATTTTTTTATTGTTAATAAAAGCCTTTTAAAGAAGAATTTCGAGCGGTTTTAAACTTTTTTTTTTTAATCAACTACCATCAAATTTTTTATTAGTATCTAACTATACCACAAATACCTTTACTTTTAGAAAAACTTTCTTGTTTAAAAACTTCAAGCCCATATTAATTAGGTGTTCATTGCGAAATAAGGAGGGAATTACCATATATGTAAAACAAAAAAGAAAAAAAAAGGAACTTCTCGTGTTCTTAAAAAAGTGTTTTTCCTAAATTATTTCAAAGATTTACTTTATTTTTATCTATGACCTGGATTTTATTATAATTAACAATATTACATAAATAAACTTTATATAATCCATGATTTAAAAAAAAAATCAGAATTTAACTTAGTTTAGTCGCGGAAAAATTGTCTTTCAATATTTTTACCAATGAAAAACTTTATCTTCCATTGAAGCGAATTTAGTTCACCCTAAAACAATAATTAATTACATAAATTAAGTTTTTTTTATCGCTTGTTATTCAACAGAAAACGTGACGTACTTAAAAAAACAACACAAAATTTAATACTTTTCTGTAGAAAATCGGACCATAGTTTATATCATAGGTGGGTCTACAGGGGATGGTGGGATTTCGGGCTGAAGCCCCCAAAATGGTAAAATGTAACCATGTTTTATGAAAAAAATTATCTCTAAAATTATTATTGTTCGTATAATTACATTTAATAGGACTTGGTAATTTAAGAATCACTTAAACAACATTTCATATAGATAGTTAGTTTCTTTCTTTCTTTCGAAGTAATTATCCTAATATATATATATATATATATATATATATATATATATATATATATATATATATATACAAAAAAAAATTCGGTCTGAAGCCCTTTCCAAAATTAAATCCTGAATCCATTAGTTGTTTATACAAACTGTTTTGTAGCTCTTGAGGTCAGTTAACATGCCTTTAAATATTCCTATCTTATATTAAATATTTCTTCCTTTATTTAGACTGTACGGGACCTTAAAATATATATATAATTTTTAACTCGGACATAATAATTATTCGCGATGGAAATAATTTCCCTTTCTATATATTTTTCCATGAAACATGGTAACAAATTAACTAATTACAGAATAAATATAAACATGCAAGATAAAAATCATCAAAGTTAGGTCAAAATAAATCAAACATTAAAAAAATAAGTTAAATAGTATGTTACCGTATTTAGTGATGTCCCCGTGAACTTTTCTTTCCGCATATTTCAAAATGATTACCGAGGGTAAAATGGTTTCGTCTACACTATCACAAATTACATTCATACCTGCCATTTTCGAAGATAAAACATTATTCTTGATTCATTTCTATTTCTGTTTAATCTTTAATCTTATTTGATGGAGTATGACCAACTATTGAAGCCGGGGATGTGAACAAAAAGCACACTGATCGGTTTTATATCTCACTTAATCCAGTGTTTTCGTCTAGGCTTTGGTCTTATGTTGAAGCCTCTAAGAAACATTGAAATCTTTGTTTGTAAATAACTTTAAAAATTTATTTATGAAGGTCTTATCAAACGAAAATATATGGCATTTTATAAATTTATTAAATAGAGGCGAAATTTATCATGATATATGTTATTATATTTAAAAGTAATTCTTTTTCTCATAGCTTTTGGAAAGTGTTTCCCTGCTTTGAATGTTAAATATTTAATAGAAGATTTTGTTACTGAATATTTTTAATTGAAGGTACCTCTTCATTAATTCATATGATTATTTAATTCTATATTTCCCATTTGTTAAGATTTCATAAAAGCTCATATTTTTTCTGAGTTATAATTATCATTTTATTTTCCAAATTCCGGGGGGTTAGGAAAAAAAAAAATATCATTTTATAAAATGTTACATTTATCTCTTTGTAGCCACCTCCTTTACATGATCGAAACAAAAAATCATTAAAATATTATTGTAATATTTTGTATGGGAAGAGAGAAAACGTTTTACAGCCAAAAAGTCAGATTTTGTTTTTGTTTTTTATCTATGACTTCTATACGATGCATCAAAAACTGAGAAATCATTATATAAATAGGCAAACAGTTCAGTCCCTTTTACTCCTCTATTATTCAACCAATCTTCCTCCTTCTTTTTTTTTGTTTAATAGCTATTGAAGAGGTTTATTGTTATCAATAAATATAAATATGAAATGGTTTGTAAATAAATATATAAAAGGTAGTTTGTTCAAAACAGCTAATCTCCGCAAGTTCTTCACCGATTTCTTTGAAAGTTTGATACAACGTCACAATAATATTTAGAAGTGTTTTTTTATACGTTTCATCATGATCAGGCCTTTGCTTTCGAAATGGCGGCTGAAAAATGTGATTCTCTTCAGACTGTAGCGCCAAAACGGCTTTAACGATTTCAATGAAACTTGGCTAAAGTCTTCTCCCCTTGAAACATATATAATTTATGTATATGACATACTTGCCCGAAAACAAGCTGCATACATTTTTATGATGAATTCAGTATTTTTTTGCGAATAACTCAAAAAGTACACTTTTTTTATTAATAATACATATTTATTACATAATAAATATTTTTTTCAAAGCATACTGTATTCCCTACAATATAAAAAAAAAATCATCGAAATCGGATTATTTGTTGCAGAGATATATCATTTCAAGCGTTTAGTAATTTTTCTTTTGCAAAGTCGATTTCCTTTATTTTGGTTTTTGATAAATCGAGAACTTTAAATTTAATGAAGTGATCGGGACTATTATTTGAAGAGATGATATCATGGAATGTTACCTCATAAATTAAATTTAAAAATAAATTCTATAGTTATACTCATTCTTAACTTAAATACTGCACCAGCATTAGTTAATGGAACACGAATGAAAGTGAAGTACCGACAGGAGCTGCTTTAAATAAAAGAATTTTAATTCCAAGAATTAATTTAATATTTTCTGACACCATATTTTTAATAGAATTTCAAAGAACAATGATCTTATTAATAACTGCGTTTGCTACGACCATAATCAAATCGCAGGGTCCGTTTGGAAATATTTATATATTATTGCGACGTCCGGTAATTTCACATGGACAATTATATGTAGCAGCAAGTAGAGCACGTTAAAATTAATATTAAAATTTTGATGTTTATGTTTCCAATGACAATGGTCAAGGCTATGTATTAAACAATAACAGAACATTAAAAAAGAACATTGTTTTCAGAGAAGTTCTCTATAAAAATCGATTTAAACTCAGTTGGAATTGCTAATATAAATATATTTTTTACTTGCTTAGTCATAACATTTAATTTATTGTGATAATAACACACATAAATTAAAATGGAAATTAAATATTTTGTATGAGTCTATTTTGTATAACTTATAAATAATTTTAGATCGATTTTTAATTGAAATTGAAATTTTGTTTATATATAAATGAGGATTTTTGATTCGTGATTTACTCTTTATTTATTGAATTTTTTAAAAATTTAATTATGTTTTCTAGTTACTATAAATGGCCCTGTAACTTGGAAATGTTGATTGGCCGTGGTTTTATACCTTACCACGTAACCGTACTATAATGTTTATGTACTCGTTCGACGCATAATTTAACGTTCTTTTTATTTATTAATTAGTATATTTTACGTTTTGATTTATCGTTTAGGTGTTATAGGTGAAAAATCAAAAGATCTGACTTTTTTGGCTCTTTGGAGAATTTAAAAAAATAAAAACTTTTCTCACATTTTTAGCAATGGATCTCCCTTTTCGATCCTCAAATTATTGGTCTGGTATTCTTTATATCAGCCGCCATTTTTTAAAGCAGCGGCTCTGAAACGGCAGACAAGGTTCAAAGCTTGTCATCAAACCTTCGCCTGCGATGAGGTCGATTTTTGGGCCCTGGCTCCAGTGCTATTATCGAAGTTCTGACTAGTGATGGGGCCATATAGGCGGAGCAGTGATTATGTAACAGTGACTGGCCGGAGCTGTGATCACAGTGACAGGCGCACCAA